TAAGCAAAGTTGGGTTTATTTGCAAAAATAAATAATGTAAATGTCTGTACAAATGAGTCCACTACAAAATAAAGGCCCGACCATCAAAGCAGAGCCACAAACATGTCTGTGCAATAGTAGAGCTTAATATAAATTTAGTCTCATTGTGAGTCCCGGTGTGTCCCTGTGGTGTCCTAAAATCCAGTGTGGGGTCAAAGTGCAACACAGGCCGGGGTTTCCTGGGCGCCATCCATCTGCTGGTCAGAGTACAGAACGGTATTTACAGGCAAACATGATCCACACTGCGCACGCGTTCTCGGGATAAACGAACACCCGAACGCGGACAGCCAGCCTCACGTGATCGCCACGACAACACACTATCTCCTCACAGAAGGGGGACCTGCATGAAAAATAAGACATCCAGAGCAATAACGTGTGAGAAGAATATTCAGGGAATAAAACCAGTTTAATATTCTGGATTGTTTGTAACAAAGGGACAAAACTGAAGGCTGAGTGTTGGTGAATGTGCGCAGGTTATTTAGAAACCTGTCTATGACAGAGGCAGGAAGTAATGGCATGACTTTTGAGTCTATTATTTTCGTGATCATATTCGTGTTCTCAGCTCTGGCAGGAGGTATAACATGTGAAACTGTTACAGTATATGTTGTGGAAAAGACAGGGTCACTTTTTATTTTGAGGCTATTTCCCATCATGCTTTAGAGTAGATGTGTGCGCATCATTTATTACTCAATACCGACACTATTAGAACATAGACATTAACATGTTTGTTGGTCTGTGTGCAGCACCCTCTACAGGAAAGCCACAGGTAAAGATGAGCCTGAAGTACTGTGCAAAAGTTTGGGCTTCGAGGCCACATAATCACTGGCAACCTTTCAAAAGTCATTGACGTTTTCATACAGCTTTGTTCTCTAGTTGTGATATTTTAACATTTAGTTTAGTCGTATATTACCTGAGGCAGGTGGCAAAGGCCCGACGAGCGTTACGGTGAAGAAAGTGTATAGGGAAGCCTTTGAAAGTGTGTCCGTCTGGCACGGCCCTCCTCACGGCGTCCTGGAACTCCTCGTTGCCGCAGGAGACACCGGTGCAGCGTTCCAGCTCATAGGCTGACAGAGCCGAGGACAGCAGGTAGGACAGGTGGTCGTCCCACATTGTCGCAAGATCCAGGTCCTGGAGGAGAGCACCCCACAGAGTGGATACATTCCTCAGTAACTGCTACACTACAGTCAACTACACAGCAAAGGTATGGTTCACTTATATACTAAAGGTGAAATAAGGTTATAATGGTCATCTGGCATTTTTGTTTTCATCTCTTCAACGTAAATATAAGTGATGTTTAAATAACACACATCATGACTTATTCATATTTTGATGTTTCAAAGAATTATCAGCGTTCTCATCTGTCTCAGTGCTCTAATCAGGCCTCTTTCTAGAGTGCAGGTGAGTTTACCACCATCCAACATCACGGTGTTTTACCTTCCTATGCTCAGATACCAGGTAGCGCATCTCCAGCTCCAGCTGGTTGCTGGCTGCAGCCGGATCCAGAGACGGGGAGCAGAGCGGAGGCAGAGGGGGCAGAGAGGTGGTGGAGCCTGGAGCACAAACAGACTTCAGAGCCTCTTCACTCATTGCTTTCCACCGTGACTGATTCTGAAGAAAATCAGGTAGGGGGAAGAAAAAGAGGCATTTAGCTGATAATCTCATTCACACAGACCCACTACATTGTCCACTGGGTGCTTTGCTTTAGGCCAGCGTGACAGAATGGGAGTTGCTGATGAATGAAACTGTTACAGATTCAATTTCCTTCCCCACAAACTGGCTCCTGTTCTGTTGATTGAAGATGGCAATCTTCCAGCGAGCTCTGTGCCCACAGGACCCTGCTCCAGGCTACCTTTGCCCTCTGTCTGCCTAAAAATCACCAGTACTTATTTGATTAGGTTTTCTACGTTG